CTAGAACCTTAGCTAAAAGCTTACAAACTCTAACTATTAACTAAAGCCTAGAAAGACGCACTATAGAAATACATAGACAGGATGTTATTACAAGGACATATCTAAGAAAGTAACAGCCTAGTGGCATTAGCAGTAGTCTTTGCAAAAAAAGAAAAATAGTAAAGTAAAAGTATGTTAGAACTATTAAACTTTAAATAATAACACTATATAAGACTAGTACCCCCTACTAATAATCTAAGACATTATAAACTAACTAAAAGGAACTAAGCACTTTACTAAGTTTAATGTCTAAGACAGATTTAATAAGATAAAAATTAAATAAAGACATAAATAAATAACAGCCTTTTAAACTCTTAGAGAACTATATAAACTGCTTGTTATGCCCTTTAGACTTACTAACACGCTTATAACTTTCTAAAGAGTTATTAACATAGCTTTAAATCTATACTTTAACATATTTGTATTAGTATACCTTAATAACATACTAGTATATACTAAAGAAAGCTATAATAACTACATATTAAAAGTAAAACTTGTATTAGAACGCCTTAAGTAATATAGCCTACACCTTTAACTAGAAAAATGCAAATTTAATGTATAAAAAACTAAATATTTAAGGTTTATTATAAACTAAGACTAAATAAAGATAGACTTAAAGAAGGTTGCTAAAGTACTTAAGTAGCCTGTACCTAAATTTGTTATAGAAATTAGAGGATTCCTTAGACTAACAGGCTACGTATAAAGAATAATTAAGGACTATTCTAAAATAGCGCTCCTACTTACTAACGCTATAACAAAGAAAAAAGTGTTACATAAATTCTAGTAGATAACTAAAATAAATTAATCCTTTAAAGAACTAAAGAAGATTATTACTAGCTACCTAGTTCTTTAAATATACAACTTAACCTTTAAAACTAAAGTACATACTAATGCCTTAAAACAAGCAGAAGGAGTAGCCTTTTTATAGAAACAAGAAAACAGCTATTAGCACTTAGTAGCATATTATTTAGCAAAGTTTACCCTTGCAGAATAAAAGTATACTATACTAGACAAAGAACTTAAAGCTATAGTTAATGCTTATAAAAATTAAAAAGTTAAATTATAAAGACTTAGATAATAGTTTGTTATTTATACTAACTACGCTAACCTAGTAACTTTTCTAACAATAAAGAAACTCTCCCTAATGTATGTACAGTAGGTAATAGAGTTAGCATAGTTTAACTTTATTATTAAGCACGTTCCTAGAAGTAGTAATTAACAAGTAGATGTTCTTAGTGGACACTCTAACTATTTTAACAGATTAAAAGAAGACACAGAGGAATTTATAATTTTTAAGGAAACTAACTAAGGTCTAGTATATAATAGACTAGAACTAGAAGGACTAATTTGTTCTCTAATAATTACTAAATATAGATAAAAAAACTTTATTAAAAAATACTATAAGGCCCTAATGTTTAGACACCCTAGAGTAAGATTACTTTAAAAGAAAATAAAAAAAGTAATTTTTAAAGACATTTTATAACTAAAGCACTTATGCACTAAGGTACTACAAAAGTGTAACCTATGCAATAAGAACAATCTTTAAAGACATAAACTATATAGACAACTCTAACTAATTATAGCACTAGAGTAACTCTAGACTATAATAACAATAGATTTTATAACAGGACTACTACTATTCTACAAACCTAGCACAGAAAGGCTTTATAACATAATTGCAGTAGTAGTTAATAAGACTACAAAGTTTGTCTTTACATAAGTAACAGAGAAGAGCATAACTGTAAAAGAATTTATGTTTAAACTAAAAAAGAACCTTTTTATAACTTATAAATGCCTATAGATTATTATCTTAGATAAAGATAAACTTTTTACTAGCAAGTATTAGACAACTGTAATCTAACACTTTAAAATAATCTATAAACTTTCTATAGCTTATTACTTTTAGACTAATAGACAGACAGAATAAATAAACACAGAAATAGAAAAGTATTTATAGAAGTACATTTTATATAAATAAACAGACTAGCCTAAATAGTTGCTAATAGCCTAGTTAGCTATTAACACCACACAATCTACCTTAACTAAAATAACTCTGTATAAAGTAAATTTTAGCTACTCTTACAGATATAAGCTTTTTAAAACCTAGCTAACAGACCTACTAGAAGCCTTAAAATAGACAACATAACTTCTAGAAATTTATTAGAAATTAGGTAAAAAAGCTTAGCTTATAGTAGAAGCTATAAAAGCATTAGTAAATTAACACTAATAAACAGCGCTAGAAATACACCCTTATAACTATATATATTTAGATACTATAAACCTTAAAAATCCTTAACTAGCACAGAAGCTAGCTAAAAAATAAATAGGACTTTATAAAGTTATTTAAACCTGTCTAGGAGCATGTAAGCTTAAATTACTAAAAGATATAAAGATCTTTCTATAGTTCTATGTTTCTAAGCTAGAACTAGCACCTAAAAACATCCTGTTAGTAACTTAAAGATAAGATAAAAAAGAACTTAAATATAAAGTTAAAAAGATCTTAGATAAGAAAGAAAATTATTACCTAATAAAATAAGTAGAATACCTAACCTGCAAAAATACCTAGGAACCTGCTATAAACCTGCAGAACGCCTAGAAGGCGCTATAAGAGTATTACTTACGCTTTTTAAATTAAACTATCTAGGCAAAAGTTTCTGTAACTAAAAAACATCCTTACTAGCTAAAACTACTGTTGCATTAGTTAGCTGTGATATAGGAAGCCTGCAACCCTTTAACATAGGTTAAGGAGGAGGAAGACCTACTGCTTTTGCCTTAAGCGCTTTAAGCTTATCTAGCAATAAGAGGTCTCCTTCTAGATATTTTGCCCTTTAATCTAATAGAAGATTAAGTTGCCTCTGCGCCTTCTCTAAACAATCCTAAGACGCGTCTAACATAAACGCATTGCAGCAATACTCTTTTTAAATACACTTTACACACTTGTTTAATAACAAGGACATTATGTAAGAGGAACTGCTTAAATAACAAGCACTGCAAAGACGCATTTTTGTGCAGCAGAGTAGATTAAGCTAGGCAACAGTCTAAAGGCAACAAACAGAGGCAGAAGGATGAGGGGTCTAGTAGGGCATAGTTAAAAAGGATAAGCGTACGTCTAGCATTTATAAAAGAACACGCACTAGCTAAAAAGAAAACCTAACACTTGCAGCAGAAAGAACATAACAGCAAGGACGCTAACTAGAAGAGAAGCCTGCGTGTTATGGCTAATAAATAGACTGTAATAACTTAGCTTGCTATTACACACAGCCCTAAGCATAACAGATAGGAGACAGTTAACCCTGTAATTAGCAGACCTTATAACTAAACAGAAGAGGAATAGTGTTATCTTATAGATAAATGCCTAGCAGAATGCGCTATCTAATAAGGTGTTGCAGGCTTGCGCGCTTGCAGGTTACAAAGGAAAGACAGCATGCAAGCATGTAAGCATGCAACTACTATGTATATAGTCTTAATTCTAACTATAGCTAGGAGGTTGTAATTAATATTTAGTTTATTCTTTATAATAGACTAAGAAGCCTAATCCTTTTTAAAGAGGATTAAGCTGCTTTATATATCTTATAACATATATACCTCTAACCCTTGTCTACTTAACTAGTAAACGCCTAGCTACTTATACAGCTATAGGGGCAAACTACAGCCTGCCTCCTAAACCCTGACCATCCTTCACTCTGCTTGACAGACTGTACACCTGATCCAGCTAAGTTCTCGCCCTTCTCTCACTAACACCCGTATAGGCCGTTGTACCCCGGAAAACACCATTTCTCTGGAGTAAGGATTGTAACACTAGCTAGGGGGGAAATTCTTGCGCATTTAGCTTAAGTATATGCTAAATAATTACCTACTTTTTATTATTATCTAGCTTTTATAAGTTAGCTATATAATTAGCTTAGAAAGGTTATCTAGCGTGTTAGTTACTTATTATCTTTTAAAGGACCCTGTAAATAGCTGCAGCGTGTTAGTTAAAAAGTGTTACATTTTATTTAAAAGCTTAAAGCATAAGCTGCATCTAATATTCTTTTAACATGTTTAAGTAGTGTTGTTAGAAATGCATTAGTGTAGAAAGAGTAGTGTAGTAGGGTCTTAGCAAAAGTAAGCAACTTAGGTGTGTAAGCAACTCGCCTATGAAGTACGTTAACTAAAAGAAAAACCTTTACATATATAGCTTAAGTATATGCTTAATAATTACTTACTTTTTATTATCATCTAGCTTTTATAAGTTAGCTATAAAATTAGCGTATAAAAGTTATTTAGTGTGTTAGTTATTTATTATTTTTTAAAACTTTATATATAGCTATAGTATATTACTTTAAAAGTGTTACATTTTATTTAAAAGCTTAAAGTGTAAGCTATATCTAACATTTTTTTTAGCACATCTAAGTAGTGTTATTAGAAATGCATTAGTGTAAGAAAATTAGTTTAGTAGGGTCTTAGTAAAAGTAAGTAACTTAGGTGTGTAAGCAACTTGCCTATATTGTACGTTACTTTTTATAAATTATGTTTACATTATTATCTCTAAGCTAAATATGTTAGGCGCCTTTTTTATAGTGTAACAAACTTTTCTTTTTATAGCACTAACTTTAAGTCATTGCTTTAAATTTCTATAGAAAGACTTTATCTAAGCTCTAAAACCTTTGTCTAATACTAGGAAGTTATTATTAACGCTATACGCGCTGCAGAGCGCGATTTTATACAGGTCTGCCCTGTTAATTAGTACTTCTAGGCGATGCCTAGTAAGAGTAAGCGAGAGACTGCACTAAACGGGATCTCTGGACAGAGATTACTAATTATTGCTACGCAACATGTAGTTATAAGATCTTCTGAATATCGAAACACCGTTTAATTGAGTGGCCGAAACTCGCCTCTACCCCAGGAAGGGCAAGCGAAAACAGTTCTTCGGCTTCCCCTATTCTTTCTGTCTCTTTAAGTTTGCTAGATTTTGCACTACATTAAGCGCTGGTATGTATCTCTTTACCGCCTCCAGGCCTAATGTCTTTTCATAGCCTTGCAGTGCCCGTTGGTACATCTTCTCCGCCTCGTCAAGCCGTCCTAGGTCCGCATAAAGAAGGCCTAAGTTGTTGACTGTAGAGAGTGTTGATTTGTGCTCTGGTCCCCGTGCATTCTCAAAGCCTTGCAGGGCCCGCTGGTACATCTCCTCTGCTTCGCCAAGCCGTCCTAGGTCCGCGTAGAGATGGCCTAAGTTGTTAACTGTAGAGAGTGTTGATGTGTGCTCTAG